TATATATATATATAAATTAAAAAAATAATTTTTAGGATACAGTGATTCTCTAAATCTTATTACATTCTTTAATATTTAAAATATATTTTCATAAAATAAAGTATTTTCAAAAATAAAGTCACAATGCAATAAATAAATAACAGGCCTAATAAATAGTCCTAAAATAGTTCTGATTTTCTATAATTTTCTAAAAACACGTTCTAAAAATATGCTTTATTTTCTATAATTTTCTAAAAATAACATATCCAAAATATAATTCATTTTCTACCACTTTTAACAACAGTCCTAAAAATATTTTTTTAATACTTTTCTAAAATTAGCAGTTATAAAATATGCACAATTCTTTTAAAACAGTCCTAAAAATAGAATTGATTTTCTAAAACTAATAGTCCAAAAAATTGAATTAATTTTCTAAAAACAACTTTTCTAAAAACAGGAATCATTTTCTACAATTTTCTAAAAAATAACAGACCTAAAAATAGAATTTATTTGATATAATTAACTAAAAATAACAGTCCTAAAATACAGTTATTTTTAAAATAGTTTTCTAAAAAATAGCAGTCCTAAAAATAGAATTTTTTTTTGTTTTTCCTAAAAACAACTGTCCTAAATATAGATGTCTTTTTCTATAATTTTCTAAAACTAATAGTCCTAAAATAGATTTGTTAAATACAATTTTTCCAAAAATAACCCTTCTAAAAACAGAATTAATATATTTTTATAATTTTCTAAAATGACAGTCCTAAAAACAAGTTTCATTTTCTATAATTTTTCAAAAATAACAGTCCTAAAAACAGACTTCATATTTGATCATTTTCTAAAAATGACAGTCCTAAAAATATAAAATATATAAAATATAGTTTAGGTTGAAACATGACTCTTAAGTATTCTCGTTCTCAGGTTTCCTGTCAGGGGATTTTCATTCGGTTAAGTCCGATGAAGTTCCTACAGGAACAGGAACAAGTAAAGTGGAACTCAAAACAGTCTGTGTGTGTGTGTGTGTGTGTGTGTACCTGAGACAGCCGGTAGTGTTGAAGAAGATGTCGGACTCTGAGGGGCTCAGCTCAATGATGTCCTTGTCCCCGGTGCCAGAGAGGGGAATCAGAATCTTCTCTGTCAATTCGGGAAGAGTTTCTCGTGCCAGCCTTTCTTTCAGGTTATCCTTAGAAGACAGATTCCACAGAATACCTACAGGGAATGAGAGCAAAGGGGAGAGAGAGATAAAGAGAATGAGGAAAACAGCATGGGAACGTGTCATGGGAAATAGATATGAATTTAAATAAAGATAAGGAAAAAAACGAGGAGGAAAAAGTGGGGGAAAAAATCATAACTACAGCAACCGTTTCAACCAATTTCACAAATCGAACTTCCTTGCAAAAGATTTACAACCTCTTTAGCTTTCGTTATGATGTCATCCTCTTAAATGCCACACTTTTTAGTGGTGGGATTCGCATTGCTAGATTTATTCAGTTTATTGGAGCTCCTGCATATCCAGACACGCACAGAGCCTAAGGACCGACATAAATCTAACTCACCAACCTTCGCTACAGGAGTCCGCTCATTCCACTGCACAAGTCAAGACAACGTTGAGCAATAATTAAAGTAGTTTGATGCAATACTGAGAGATCAGGCAACGCCCTGCATACAATGCATGCAGATACACATGCACACATCTAGTCTGATGACGAAAACCTCTTCGTACGTCATATCCTGAGTCATTTAATGGCTTAAATGGACACTGGACCTCACTAGCACGAATAAAAAAGTCTTTAATTGAAGGATGTTCTATATTTTCTATGATACTGTAACAGTGAATAAAAATGAAAAGTAACATCAGCTGTATCTCTGGCAGAGGAGGCCCAGTATGCATGGCAGATGTTGATTCACTGAAAATCGACTTAAATATCATTCTGTACTGCAAAGCATTGATGAAAACAGTATTTAAACGAATTAAAATGTAATGTTTCAGAGAATATTTTTGTGTTATGTATTTGTTATGCTAATTAGAACATTAAGGGACAGATTTATTAACAGGTTACATCAACGCAACTATTATCAGGATTTACCAAAGACGCGCAGTGGAAAATTAAGGATGAAAAGGCATGGACAGAGTTATTATTGCATATGCGTTTGTAGGAGTTTCCCTTTCAGATGCTAAATTTGTGGGAGTAGAGTATTTAAATAAATTATTTACTAAGGTTTGTGGTAGTCAGTTTGCTGGTATTTACGCCTGTATTCAAAGCTGCAGTCCGTAACTTTTTTTGGTTAAAAATGATCCGAAATCAATATTTGAGCAATACAATATATATGTATTTTAAGTACATAACCAGCCAGTGTTCGAAACTATCGCCTTACATTAGCCCGATTCAAAATGGTTAGCTTATAATAATGTTTTGTAATTTGAGTGGTACTGGGAGGTTTTCGCGGGAAATTCGAGCATGGCACTGTGTCATTACGTCACGTCTGTAAACATAAAGAAGTTGTCCCGGCTACTAGGCTATCGCATGTGAGGATCCTGCAGGATCCTCGTTTATAGTCTTTTCTCACAGCAGCCAGAATAATTAAATGTATCATTTTGATGGCGGATTGTAATCCAGAAAGGATTATGCGTTTATGAAACACGTGACTGAAATTAAATTATATTCCAGTTATAAATGTGCTTCTGATTACAGATAGCCTGGGATTACAAAGATTTGTATTTTAAAGAAAACCAGTTTCGAAGGGAGCATAATTAGCTTTTTGGGTTAAAAGAATTTCTTAATATGAAATTCGAAGAGTATGGCAATTAGATTAGACTGTGCAGAAATTGAAATCTACACGCAAATACACACTATATTCATAATCACCAATGCTGATGTTTGTTAACATTAATCATTTCAGAATAAAGTATAACAATAATAATTTGAACGGTTTGATGTGATATGAGCTAACCGATATTTAGATTTAATCACCATTGGTAGCGAGATTTATGATAATTCTTTTTTCCTCAGTTGGTCAGAACAAAAGTGGCAGACTTGTTACTTATTCAGATGGCAATATACGGTGAAAATTCTTATTTGGGTCATATTCCAAGACGTAGGCTAGAATCTGTGATTGCGAAGTACAGTAAATATCCAAACCGGTGCGGTGACTGACTGCCACACATACTCTTCAGAACATTAGATTCATCCGCGCAGACTCACAACCCACGCAAGCTAGATAATTCCGCACACAGCTGCAATTCCAGGTTTTCAAACAGAGATGGCGACAAAGAGGCAAAACTACAAAGATTTGTATTTTAAAGAAAACCAGTTTCGAAGGGAGCATAATTAGCTTTTTGGGTTAAAAGAATTTCTTAATATGAAATTCGAAGAGTATGGCAATTAGATTAGACTGTGCAGAAATTGAAATCTACACGCAAATACACACTATATTCATAATCACCAATGCTGATGTTTGTTAACATTAATCATTTCAGAATAAAGTATAACAATAATAATTTGAACGGTTTGATGTGATATGAGCTAACCGATATTTAGATTTAATCACCATTGGTAGCGAGATTTATGATAATTCTTTTTTCCTCAGTTGGTCAGAACAAAAGTGGCAGACTTGTTACTTATTCAGATGGCAATATACGGTGAAAATTCTTATTTGGGTCATATTCCAAGACGTAGGCTAGAATCTGTGATGTACAGTAAATATCCACACCGGTGCTGTGACTGACTGCCACACATACTCTTCAGAACATTAGATTCATCCGCGCAGACTCACAACCCACGCAAGCTAGATAATTCCGCACACAGCTGCAATTCCAGGTTTTCAAACAGAGATGGCGACAAAGAGGCAAAACTTACGGACTGCAGTTTTAATGCCCCGAAAAAGCATGTCTTAACCCATTTTGTGCCTGTGTTGTTAGCAGATTAGACGCACCCAATTATCTTTGCTAATTTGGTCAATTTTGTCAGTAGATCAACCACATAACTTTCCACTCCCATCAGTGCTTTTGCGGTCTCACGCTAATTTGCTCTGTTTAGTAAATCTGGCACCTAAATCATTAGCCTAGCAACATGCAAACTTCAAACTCCACTTGAATCAAATGTGAATCTATATGTGTGGCACGCGAAATTGCTATCTATATACAAGCATTCCAAATCAGTCATTAATGAGGTTTGTTATTGGCATGCGGTCTAAAGGTTTAGGTTGTTTTGTGAATTTTCAGTCAAAATCCAGTCAGAAATTTCACACGAGGAAAAGATTTCCCAACGCAGATTTCGCAACGCTTTCAAGTTGGTCACTGATTCACCATGCTGACCAAAAGTAAGCAGCTTGGTTTGAAAGTAATAAACTTGAACCCACTGCAAAATCTACATAGGGAAATATTTCGGCCTTTTGCGAAATTTCTGATCACATTGTAATGACTGTATTTTGCAACAACAACAACCTGACCACACCTTTAGGCTTCTTATGTGATAAAGGAGGTTTGTTTTGAAATCAAATTGATTTTAAAAAGGACACTGGTTATAAAGTTAGCTTATATAATAGCGGTAAAGTTAACTAGAACAGAATGACTGAAATGCCCACCTGTGATGTTCTTGTGGAGTTCGTCGTCTTGTTCTTTAAGGGCTTCTATGAGCTTGGGGATCCCGCCGGATTCAATAAGGGCCACTTTGTTGTCCATGCTCTCATAGATGAGGTTCCTGGTGGCGCCAGTGGCGTAGCGCTGCACCTCTTGACTCTCGCTGGTAAACAGCTGCACCAGGAGAGGAATGCCCTTTAGCTGGTTCACCTGAAAGAAAGAGAAGTTCTACTTATATCGAAAACACACATTTAAACATTTCACTCAAATGTTTCTTTGCACGTATAGCAACTCCATACCTGTTTCTTTGTATCACTGTTATGGTAACACTCATGCTGAATGTAGGCAGCCCCCAACATCTGAAGATTTTGATCGGGCTCTTCAAGATAGTTAATGGCAGTCTGCATGTCCAAACTGTTGAGTCTATGCAGGAAAGTACGAAAAATTTAAATATTAAATAATTAGCTTAGTAACATGCTAACATCAAAGGTTATTGGAATTAATTGTGAACCTATTTGTGACTCAAGCTGTTGCTTCCTATGTAGAGCTTTCCAAATCAGTAATTAATGATGTTTGTTATTAGCATGCGGTCTTCTGTAACTCATTCTTCCGATTAATCGACTTCTCTTTGATGACATATGCCGAACTTTTCCAATCATTTTGTCCACATAAATTCTAAATTCAGATCTACCTCCATCCAATCAACAACCGATGGATAGATAGAAGTCTACGCCCTGCAATTTTTTCTTTTATGACAAGTCGTTTTACAATCCGCAAAATCACTACTTCCATTTTTATTGCAACTTCAAAAAGTTCTTCCTTGCTTGGATACGATATTAGAACATGGTCTTAGGGTGTGGTCAGATTTACAGATGTTCGTTTAATTTAATTCCGTATGCAGGAAAGAAATTTTAAATTTGATTTAGTAGCGATACTAAAAATTAACACTTCAATTGTTGACATTGTCCTGTAAAGATAATATTCATTAGCCGGTAATATTCTTGAGTCGTTGACATAGCATGTGAACTTCAGACATTTAGCTCTGGAGCTCATATAGGAAATTTGGGTTCGAATCTGGCCTGCGTTTTCTTTTTAAACCCTGTTCCCAACTTTCCTACCCATAATTTCTTACTTTCACTACTATTAAAATACCCCAAATATTTTGTAAAACCAATTCATTTTCGGTGTAAGCCTAAAGTGGCGCTTAAAAAGGGTTGTTTCTTTGTCAGATAATTCATATATTAGCTTATCTTAATTTCTTAACTAGTACTACTTCCATTTTAAGAGTCAGCATTATTTGGAGGAACTTTTTCTCAACAGGACCTTCCTTCATGTGTGTTTGTGTGTGCTGGTGCATGTTGCTGGAGTGCTAGGAAGTGTGTGTTTCTTCCCAGGGTGTATGAAGTGTGAGGTGGCTGGACTGGTTTGGGTGTGCCTGCGCAACAGACTCGCTCTTCACTTTTAACAAGCATATAGGCAGGGCTGGGCAACATCAAACATTACACATGCGCGCGCACACACACACACACACACACACACACACACAGAGTTAGTGCAACAAGGACAGATAAGCTAAGTATGGGTGTACTGACAGGCTGTTAAAGCACAGTATGAATAATTTTATGCTTCAAAGGTCAGTCCTGCACTCCTGATTATTTTTTTTAATTTTCTTTTATGTAAAGCACATTGAATTGCCATTGTATATGAAATGTGCTATATAAATAAATTGCCTTGCCTTGCCTTGCCCTCCCTGTGAGTAATCACTGTTATCCATACTTACACACCACACTAAGTATTTTTAACGAAAAACAGCTAACAGACTAATTTGCAATCAGTAATACTCAGTGTTTGTGGTAAAACATAGTATGTCTCAAATAGCTACGGTACATAATTCAGGGAATTTTTGACCAACAGTAATATGGAAGCGTTTGGTAAGAAACATGTAATTTGTGGTTGAACACGTTATTTGTGCATTTCAAGCAATTAGGCCTACTTTTGAGTGGTGTTTTATGCTAATGGTGCTAGCATACTACTTCTGTGCACATCTTTAAAGTAATTTAAGCAAGATGACAGACATCCTTAGTTAGCAGTCACTGTACAATGACCAAAATCTTATATTGTGCATAATAAAATAGTTGGAATATATTTAATGTGTGAATTTCAAATCAATCTTGGAATAATTTAGTGAATAAAATACTGAAAAAAAACAAAAACATTTTATTAGATATAAGGTAGGCCTACTCGCCATTTGACTGTTTTCCTTCACTTAATCATTAACTTGATGGGCGCAAACCAAAAGATAAGATATAATAAATGAATGAAAGTCTGGTATGAGTACAAAAGAAAAAAACTACTTCATGAACCTTATGTAACACCAGAGTGAAAAAAAACTCCAAACAATAAAACCAACGCTGAATTATGATTGGATGAGTTACAATCAACAGCACTGTAAAATAACCAATATAAAAGCACATGTGACTGCGCTTCAGTTCAATGTCTCAAATTTAATTTGGCAAGTTTCTCTCTCAAGTTTGACCAGTTTCTGCTTTGTCTAACAACACACTTAAAGTCGCCATAAAATGCAAAGTAATCTATTTTCTAAATGTTTTTGATCTTATTGTGACCGATTCATCCATGCATATGTTCCATTTCTTAAATATTGTCATTTTAAATAAAACTCGATCTTATTAATCGATTTTTTCCTGGTGACCCATGCTGGACTTTTTCAATCATTTGGTCCACATAAATTCCACCCCATTCTTACAATCGGCTCAAAATTCAGATCTACCTCCATCCAATCAACAATTGATAGATAGAACTAAGTCTACGCCCTACTTTTTTATTTTACGATCACAATACACAATACAAGATCTGCCGCTACTTCCATTTCAATACTTTCTTCTAGGGCTGGGGAAATAGATTGATGCATCGCGAATCGAGAAATGATTCTGCATCGATTCTGAGATTTTCAGAATGTATCGCGATTCTCTCTCGAATCGATTCTGAGCTTAGTTTTTCACAACAGATGGCACTGCGTGCTTTAAAAACAGCCATGCTTTGCTTGCTTCCTGTTCCTTACATACACTTGAACCTAAATTAATAATTCATAAAGTTCATAAAGTTAGAAGCGAATTACAAGGGTGTTCACAGTGAGCTGAGTTTACATTAATCTCATGTCATAAAAGCATTCTGAGCCGAGATGTAATTACATGTCGCTATTCAGCACTCTTCTTCGTAAGCATTTGAGTGTGCGCTTAAAAACTAGATTAGAGCGCCATCTGCTGTTAAAAACTAAGCTCAGAATTGATTCCAGAGAGAATCATGATGCATTCAGAATTGATTCATGAATCACGATGCATTGATTTATCGTGACAGTCCTACTGTCTTCCTGGCCTTGACTCATTTGGGATGCATTTCGCTCAGTATTTTGACACACCGAAACCACGTGTTCTTACCCGCTCAGGTTGCCCATGCTGCCTGTCATATCCATGCCGTCAAACACATCCTTGCCTCTCCCGACGCTATGCACGCTCCTGACGGATCCGGCGCGCGACAGCCGTCCCTGCTGCATCATGGCCAGGTTGTTCTGGGAGCCGCTGAATCCGGTAGTTCCGTACATGCCTGATGACATGTTGGACGTGCGACTCGTTTGCCGGTTGTTGATTCGGCTGATGGTGCGGTGGGCAGGGCCTTTGAAGGACTGCTGTCTAACGTACACCTCCTGCTCCATGCCGCCTCCTCCGCCGCCAGTGGCTAGCGTCCCGCTAAGGGAGCTTTTCATGGCCGGCAGAGTCATGGAACTGACCTGCTGCTGTCCGCTCTCTAATCCGTTCACCCTAGAGGTCGAATACACGGACTGACGTGGGTAGGTGTTGGCGGCGTAACCATTGCTCATGTTTTGCAGGGAGGCCTGTTGCGTGTAAGTGGCGTCTCGTTCTGAAACCAGGCTGCCGTCGCTGTCGTCCTGCGCCACCCATGAGGAAACCACCTGGCGCGGCATGGATGCCACACGCATGGAATGCATCGACTGGGTCTCCGGGTCTCCCCCCATTCGGCTGAAGGATCGAGTCATTGTGTTGACCTGCTGCTGTTGCACTTGGCCCCCGCCACTTTGGTAACTGCCACCCTGGAAACCGCCACCCTGGTAACCGCCGCTTACAAAATCTTCTTGATAATATGCCCCACCTCCACCACCACCTCCACCTCCTGTGTAACTGATTTTGGTTCTTGGGCCGAAATCAATGGCAGAGCGGGATGTGTAACCACTAGAGTACTGGGATGGACGCTGGGCCTAGAAGAAAAGAGGCATTGAAGAAAAGAGACATTGAACATGTAGAAGAAAAGATAAATTGAAAAGGTAGAACCTTATCAACTATAGCTATCAATTGATTAAAAAATGTTATCGAATTACATGTCAATTAATTAATCAATCCAATTGATAATAATCACGTCAATATTTCCAGAGAAAGGCCCCAAAATTGAGATAATTCAGATAAATGCAAAAAAATTTGCTGTGGTATTTCAAGTCTTAATTATAGAAATAACTTAAGTTAAATTGCATTATTTTTAATCATTTTTATCATAATTAAAGTTTTAGCAATAATTGATGCATTTTTTGCATTAATATATGCATTTTAATGCATACATTTCATGCATTTACATTTACATTTACATTAGATCAACAACTCTACTTTTAGCATGGTATCACTCAACAGGAATATATCTGAAAGTGATGCTTCGAGATGTCTAAACTTGTGATTTTTCATATGTGGTTGTTGGTTAGAGCTTACCTGTGAAATATCACATCTAACTAACACAATCCCCATTACTCATTTTCAATATTTGGACAAGATACACGTCCATAAAGCCACACACACACACACACACAAGACTTCTTTAACTTGGCTCAATAAGTGCTTTGTCTTTCAAACAAGTAAACTACTGTAAAATATTTATAAAGAAATGGAAAGAATCTTACCGTCATTGGTCTGCCGGAGGCATAGACGAAGGATTTAGAGCTGAAATTTGGAGTGAAATTCTGGCTCATTGTTGAATATTTTGTCATCGTCGGGTAATTCCCAGACTCTAAGAGAAGATATATTAAATACAGAGAATTAATATAAATGCACATGTAAACTTGAATTTCTCACTGTGAAAATGAATGAGAAAATAACATAGACTAGTTTTTATGGCCAGAGTAATCCTCTCAGTGAACTTTCTCGATGTGCCATCACATTCAACACGTTTCTGAACACAACTGAGACACCTAACAGCTCAGCTAAAATGCATTTCAGAAAAACAAGATCTATGATGTCAACTCAGTGACTGATCTCAACTAGTAACTACAACAAGCTAAAATTAAATTAAAGATCCTCATTATAAAAATATGGCCTTTGATCTTGCACTTGCCCTGTTTTCCATCAATTAAAATAGAACGTTTTCTCCAAAAGATATATAACCAATCAGGTAACAGTAAAGAACAAAAAGAAACATCTAGTTTACACATCTAACCAATGAATTGTTTTACAACACAAAATTATTAACTATCTACACAACTCTAAATTGAATAACTATTGTAAGCACTGAGTGTTGTAAACACACAAACTATGCAGTAATTAAACAAATAACTGTTTTGTTTCACTTTAGCCATGTTTATGATACCTTTGTAAACAAGCTTGTACGCAAACATGCACATTTGTTCTTTGGTGGAACAATTAAACAAAAAATTGTTTGTTTTGTTTCACTTTAATCATGTTTACTACAGCTTTATATGCAAGGGTTTTTTTTGTGTAAACATCCGTGTTTGTTCTTTGAACAATTAAACAAAATGTGTTGTTTTGTTTCCCTTTAGTCATGTTTAGCATACCTCTGTACACAAGTTTGTATGCAAAAATGCATGTTTGTTGTTTTAAACATTAAAAAAACACATTAAATGTGTTTTCGTTTCACTTTAATCATGTTTATTATAGCTTTGCATGTATGTTTTGATGTAAATGTTGATGAGCATGTCTGCTCAAATTATTAAACAACTTTGTTTTGTTTCATGTTTGTGACACTTAGGTATGTACATAAGTTTGTCTACTTTGTGAACTAACATGCAAGTTTGTTTGCTTTCTTGTAGTCAGGTTTATGACACTATTGTATGCAAGTTTGTATGTCTTATTTGAATGTAATCAAGTTGCTGAATGCATGGCATTACAGAGTGCCTGCATTGTGGGTAATAAGTTACAGGTGTTCAGATGTAAAGCCAAAGATTTACTGCTCCGTAAAGTCGTCAAGTCTGTAACTTTACAGCTAAGTCAGTATGCTCGCCATGCGTCTTTGATGACACTGCAAGTATAAGGCAAACTTGTAGAGTTACATGAATTACTGCAGTGCACGTTTACCACAATTTTACAGCGTTTTTGTTCTGGATCAGTAGCAGACATGGGGCTAAGACATCCAGGTTTATTTCATCAAAGGCTTATTTATGCATCAACGGGCATGCAAGTACATGCACTTGAGTATGTGAATGTGTGTATGTGAATGTGTGCGTGTGTGTGTGTGTGTGTGTGTGAGAATTAGGGAGTGGTATAAGCATTTCATAAGGGAAGAAGTGTGGAGTGAGTTGTAGACAACAGCCAGCAGAAAAGACAGAACCGGTCTGATGACTGGTACACTCCCAAAGTCCCTACCCAAAAAAAAAACACGCCCTTCACCCTGCCCTAGTGCATTGCTTCAAATTAGTAGAATTAAACACAAGTAATTATTAAGTTAGAACTAACATTTTGAGTGTTCAAATGCAATTTTGTTTTAAAACAATCCATTTTGCCTACATCTCAATCAAGCTCGTAATTAATTCTTGGCATTTCAATGTCAAGTTTTCAGACTTACGAACACTTTCAAGACATGGTATGCGTCGCTTCCCGAAAGCAGGTCTGTAACAGGAAGACGCAAGGCTTTTCTAACTTGTCAAACACAGGTAAACCTCATAAACTGGGGTCCGGTTAATGTATCCGCTAAGCACCAGAGGTTAAAACCCTAGAAATAGCAATGGTAGACCCTCATAAAGCCAGGAATTCAGCCACTTCTGGCCTTAACCACTCACATCAACCACAAATTCTTGAACACGTAGAAGCTTTGAGTACTTTCAAGTGCACACTAATGTGTACTAATGTGCTTTACAGTCGTACAGTACAGCAAGTTTCATTTGTCTTTAAAAACTAAACTTTGTGCAACTGCTGTCTATAAAGTTGCGGATTAAAACAAAGAGTTTGGATTTCTCTTCGGTTACATTCGTCAGCTTTTCCATCACACCAATTGATATTTAAGCTATTATGATTGACAGATCCAAATTACCTTTCTTTTGTGCAATGCCAAGCACTTTTTTTTGTCTAGAGTGGGTTGGGTTTTTCTAAGCAGAGCTTTGAAACTTTCACTCTCACTTAGTCGTGTAACAGGAACTGAGATTAGACTTGAACCTTGCTCAACTCGCTCCTGTGAATGATTAACACAAACCAGAAGTCGCCTTGTCTGTTCTGCCAGAGCCACTTTCTATGCTGATTGATACAGGGGGGGGAATCATGAATTCAAAGCTTTCTCATCCGATTTGGAATTCTTAATTTAAAATCACCACTGCTAATGTTTAAAAACAACATTGAAAACTAAATCTACCACCCCTGATGTGAACTGATTACCACCCATGACATTATTTTTGTTATCGCTAGAACACAAAGGTAAATGCAAACTAGTTCAGGTCAAGCCACTAAAAAAAAAATATATATATATATATATATATACACACATTATCTACAAATGGCATGTGGGATATTTAGTCTTACTGTATATCCAAATAACAGAAACCATGTGACCACAATTTTGCTCCAGGCAGTTTTTTCTGATAACTATTTATTGTTTTGCATACTTGCCTGTAAACAGCACAGTACATCCTGTGCGTGTGAATGTAATAATAATGCTTCTTCTATTGATATCTAACAAATAATGACGTTCCCAAAAGTTAACGAAGATGTAATTCAACTCTAAATGAAACCAGATACTGTATAAAAGCACAGCGCAAAGGCTTTTATGTAAAATCAACCTGGCAGATGATGAGTAGATTAATAATTCAAAGGCTGTTGTGTTATTGTGGAGATATTACAATGAGATCAAAGCGCACAGTGACACACCTGAGGCTGCGTACTGGGACGACGACGAGCCGTTCTGGCGCGGAAGCGTGGATTTCTCCGCCAGTCTCATGGACACCTGCTGGTGCACGCGTTTGAACCTCGCCTCCTCCTTGGCGTGGGTCCCGCCGTGAGACAGCTCGGTTTCGGAGGGGACCGCGTAAGTGCTGACGGTCGTGTTGGGCTGCAGCGCCGTCAGAAAAACGTTCTCCGAGGTCATACTCATGGCGAAGCGACGATGGGACCGAGATTACAAAGTTACAGTTCCACCAGAGAGTGGGGAAAACGTAGGTCCGCGCGGTGCGAAACAATAAAGACGTCTTCAGTTAGTCAGCTTGAGTTTCTCTGCGCTGATGCTGGAACTGTGAGGCGACGCGCTACTGACGGCTGCTCTGAACTCTGCGGCTTTTTCGCAGGTGGGAGGTAAAGTGGGCGGGGCTTTGAGGTGAGTCATCGGTTACCTGATCCAGGTAAATTCAAGAACGCACAGAGCAGGCTCTTTTCCATTATTATTTAGTCTATGTAATTGCGTTTTGAGTAAATGCATTTTTAAATCTTCCATTTTTCCCCCCAAAAGAATGTGTAGGCTATAGCAGTCTCGTTTCTGTGATGCATCTGGACGTTTACTTTTGTGTTTCAGAGTCACACTCTTAAAGATAAAGGTTCTTTGTTGGCATCAATGGTTCTATGAAGAACCTTGAACATCGATGGAACCTTTCAAATGCAGAAAAGGATCTTTATATATATATATATATTTTAAATGTTCTTCAAAATGGTTATTTCAGGAACTGTTCACTGAAAGGTTATTTTGGGAACCAAAAAAAAAGGTTCCTCTTTGGCATCACTGCAGAAACCTTTATTTTTAAGGGCGTAGAGCAGGGGTGCCCAAACTCGGTCCTGGAGGGCCGGTGTCCTGCAGAGTTTAGCTCCAACTTGCCTCAACACACCTGACTGGAAGTTTCTATGCCTAGTAAGAGCTTGATTAGCTGCTTCAGGTGTGTTTGATTAGGGTTGGAGCTAAACTCTGTGGGAATGAAACAATTAAACAGAAAATGTTTACTACAACTTTATATGCAAATTTTTATGTAAACATCCATTTTTGGATGTTTGTCTGTTGTTTTGTTTCACTGAGGTCATGTTCATGATATCTTTGTACGCATGTTTTTATGTAAACATGATTGTTTTAAACATTTAAAAACATTCAATGGGCTGTTTTGTTTCCCTTTAGCCATGTTTAAGACACCTTTGTACACAAATTTGTACGAAAACATGCATGTTTGTTGTTTTAAACAAAAAAAAAACATGAAATGTTTTTTTTTAATGTTTGTAGTCAGGTTTATCACACTATTGTATGCAAGTTTGTCCGGTCAACGTATCCGCTAAGCACCAGAGGTTAAAGTGCTGGAAATAGCTGCGGCAGACCCTCATAAAGCCAAGAATTCTGCTCTTAACCACTCTAATCAACCACAAATTCTTAAACACTTTCAAGTGCACACTAATATGCTTTTACAATCAGTACTGAAAGTCTCACTTGTCTTTAAAAACGAAACTTTGAGCAACTGCTGCCTATAAGGTTGCAGATTAAAACAAATACTTTGGATTTCTCTCAGGTTGCATTCTTCAGCTTTTCCGTCACACCAGTTGATATTTACGCCCTTATGATTGATGGAGCCAAATGACCTTCCTTTTGTGCAATCCTAAGCACATTTGTCTAGTGTGTTGGGTTTCTTCAAAGGAGAGCTTTGAAACTTTCACTCTCACCTAAAATGAACCAGATTACACTTGAACCTTGCTCAACTCACTCCTGTAAATTATTAACACAAACCAGATGTCACACTCATGAATTTAAATCTTAATTTAAATGGCCACTTTTAATGTTCAAGAACAACGGTGAAAACTAAATCTGCCTGATGTGAACTGACCACCATCTATGACATAATTTTTTGTTATAGTCAGAAAACAAAGGTAAATGCAAACTAGCTCAGGTCAAATCACATACATTAAAAAACATACATTATCTACAAATGGCATGTGGGATATTTAGTCTTACTGTATATCCAAATAACAGAAACCATGTGACCACAATTTTGCTCCAGGCAGTTTTTTCTGATAACTATTTATTGTTTTGCATACTTGCCTGTAAACAGCACAGTACATCCTGTGCGTGTGAATGTAATAATAATGCTTCTTCTATTGATATCTAACAAATAATGACGTTCCCAAAAGTTAACGAAGATGTAATTCAACTCTAAATGAAACCAGATACTGTATAAAAGCACAGCGCAAAGGCTTTTATGTAAAATCAACCTGGCAGATGATGAGTAGATTAATAATTCAAAGGCTGTTGTGTTATTGTGGAGATATTACAATGAGATCAAAGCGCACAGTGACACACCTGAGGCTGCGTACTGGGACGACGACGAGCCGTTCTGGCGCGGAAGCGTGGATTTCTCCGCCAGTCTCATGGACACCTGCTGGTGCACGCGTTTGAACCTCGCCTCCTCCTTGGCGTGGGTCCCGCCGTGAGACAGCTCGGTTTCGGAGGGGACCGCGTAAGTGCTGACGGTCGTGTTGGGCTGCAGCGCCGTCAGAAAAACGTTCTCCGAGGTCATACTCATGGCGAAGCGACGATGGGACCGAGATTACAAAGTTACAGTTCCACCAGAGAGTGGGGAAAACGTAGGTCCGCGCGGTGCGAAACAATAAAGACGTCTTCAGTTAGTCAGCTTGAGTTTCTCTGCGCTGATGCTGGAACTGTGAGGCGACGCGCTACTGACGGCTGCTCTGAACTCTGCGGCTTTTTCGCAGGTGGGAGGTAAAGTGGGCGGGGCTTTGAGGTGAGTCATCGGTTACCTGATCCAGGTAAATTCAAGAACGCACAGAGCAGGCTCTTTTCCATTATTATTTAGTCTATGTAATTGCGTTTTGAGTAAATGCATTTTTAAATCTTCCATTTTTCCCCCCAAAAGAATGTGTAGGCTATAGCAGTCTCGTTTCTGTGATGCATCTGGACGTTTACTTTTGTGTTTCAGAGTCACACTCTTAAAGATAAAGGTTCTTTGTTGGCATCAATGGTTCTATGAAGAACCTTGAACATCGATGGAACCTTTCAAATGCAGAAAAGGATCTTTATATATATATATATATTTTAAATGTTCTTCAAAATGGTTATTTCAGGAACTGTTCACTGAAAGGTTATTTTGGGAACCAAAAAAAAAGGTTCCTCTTTGGCATCACTGCAGAAACCTTTATTTTTAAGGGCGTAGAGCAGGGGTGCCCAAACTCGGTCCTGGAGGGCCGGTGTCCTGCAGAGTTTAGCTCCAACTTGCCTCAACACACCTGACTGGAAGTTTCTATGCCTAGTAAGAGCTTGATTAGCTGCTTCAGGTGTGTTTGATTAGGGTTGGAGCTAAACTCTGTGGGACACCGGCCCTCCAGGACCGAGTTTGGGCACCCCTGGTGTAGACTTTTTGGTAACACTTTATTTTAGTGTTCCTTAGATATGTTACATGTACTTACTATAGTAATAACAATAAATTATGCATAATTACATGCAGTAGGCCTAACCCTAAACTAAACTCCAATTCTAACCCTGCAAGTAGGCGACAGGTTGTTAATTAATATTACTCAGTTCTTAAATGTAAAAATTGCACTGTAAAATAAAGAGTAACAACGTAATGGGCTTTACAACAAATTATTTAGGTTACACTTTATTTTAAGGCGTCCTTGTTATAGTATAATCGTGCATTTAAGTACTGAGTAATATTATTTAACTATAGGCCAACACTGTACAAAGAATTCTGTAGTTTTTACGAAATACTTTTGGGAGCTGTGGTTGCCAGAATCATTTAGTAAAAAATACAGAAAAACGCATTTACGGCCAAAAATGGCAAATTTTACAGTATAAAACTGTAATTTACAAACAAGAAAATTTGAATGTAAACCAGTAAATTCAACAATGCACACTGCTATTAAAATCTGTTTTGTACCTTTAACATACTGACAACCACCAAAATAAAGCAGGTGGTAAAAGAGAAAGCCACATGAAGAATCAAAGCTCATCACAAGTAGCTTCGCCACAAGCAGAAGTATATACTAATGTATAGAAGGTGCACAGAGTCATTCATGCAAACACAAAACACCATCATGGTAACACACATGATACTTAAATAATGCATTCAACTTTCAATAAACAACAGAAGATGTAACATAAAGCCCAAATATACATAACTGATAACAAAAACTATTAAAAAAACATGATTATTTAAACAAAATACTTTCAAATGTGGAGTGTCATGCAGGGAATTCTGGGAATATCAGTTTACAGTTTTTGACTGGAAATTATACATTGATTTGTTATTTTTTTACTTCTAAAAACTGTAAAATTAACAGCATTTTACTGTAAAATTACACGAAATGTCTGGTTAGATCTTTTACAGTTTTTCCCTGTATATAGTACGGGAACTTACTGTTAACCTATTAACAGTTTTTTTTCTGTAGCGTTTTGACAAGATTTTACAGTTAAAATTACACTTATTTTTTACAGTGTATGGTTAGGGTTAGGATTAGGCTTTTTTATAAAATGTATTGTTACTATAATAGTAACTAGGCTACATGTAACGTGCAACAAAGACACCTTAAAATAAAGTGTTACCATTATGTATTATACAGTATATATCAAGAAAAAAAACATGTTTATAGATTACATAAGTTTAGTTAATGAAAATAATTGAATAGGCTAGCTCATTTTAGGATCTGACAAACATTATTTACAGTGTGGATTTTGAAAACTCTTGCGCGATCTAACCAAATAACGTAACACGTTTATCGTCACCAATACTTTCATTCATTTTTCTAGACATTTTGTCATCAGTTCAGCAAAATTCCCAGAGAATGTGCTCTGACATGCAGGTGACGTGTGTCTCTGTTTAAACAGCTCGTTGTTGTTGTATCTTAGAGTCGTCTAGCAACGTAAGAAGCGCGGCAGGTCATGCTGAATCAAGTTTCACCTTTATCTAAAAAACTCATGCATGGTTTGCTTTCTATAAAACACAAACACTAATATCAACTATCTGATGAAAAATGATGATATTTTCCAGCTGTATTTTACTGTATTATTTTAGATTTCAAATAGCCAACAAACTCAATAAATTGCAGTTTAAATACCCCTTTTTAATTAAGTGTGATTCATTTATCCACTTTATAACTGTTTGTTAATACAAATGCCCTTCTAAATCATTTAAAACACATACATTTATTGAATAATACATTCTTGTAATTATTATGTTTATATCATTTTTGAAAATGTCATCATTTATAAAATATGCTAATTTAAGGTTTTCAACTGTCATAAGCACAAAAAAAAATCCAAACCAGCATCTTTCTCAGAAAGTTATCAAACTCACTCACTCAGCACTGAGTCACTGTGACTGATACTGATTTCTGTTCAGACAGCATTTGCATGCTCGTTCACAAAACTGAATCATGCTTTGTTCATATGCCGACAATAGTATCCATTTATTCTGAGATGAAAACAAACAGAAAGTGCTTGATTGTATCTTTACTCACCAATAGGACTATCAGGATTTAGCGTATAATTCCAGTGCTGAGAAAATGTGTTTAGTGTGCCGTCTCGCAGATTGCTTGTGAAAATCTGACAGGTGTCAGAGAGAGGCAAGAAGTTATAGAATCTGCAGTGACAACGCCCTTATCACATTAAAAAAGATACACGTGTGTGCATTCATGATCACTATTCTGGTTACCAATCCCCTGAATTAAGAAGGTGTGTGTGATAATGTGTCAGACGGTTACAGCAGAGAGAAAGAGAGAGACACAATGGGCGAGTCTGCAGGTGGAGGTGTGATGCAGACGTCAGACAGGAGGATCGGAGGGTGTGAGCGGGGCTAGACAAACCTACAACCCCCACAATACTATTACGTGCAGTGAGCAGCCAGATTAAATGAACTAATCGCCAATTTCTCATCAGGTTAATATAGGCTACACAATACTGTTCCATGCAGTGACCAGCAAGATAAATGTAGATCATTTCAAACAATTGTTTTATGTTTTGTGTGTGTGCGCGTGTTTTTTGTTTATATACACAATACTATTCCGTGCAGTGCCAGTGAGCAGCAAGATAAAATTATTTACAGCCAATTTCTTGTTTTGTTGTTTTGTTTTGTAAAACCTCAGGTTTAAATACACAATGCTATTCAGTCCAGCAAAACAAAGTTCAAACAACTGTTTGTTTGTGTGTTTTGTCTTGTTTTGCTTCTTTTGTTTTGTAAAACCGCATGTTCAAATACACAATATCAAATACACAAAAATCTGTGCAGTGACCAGCAAGATAAACGTTTGAATTTCAAACAACTTTTTTCAATTTATTTTGTTTCTTCTTTTGTTTTGTAAAGACGCAGGTTCGAATACACAGTACTTTTCTTTGAAGTGACCAAGATAAACTCACTAATCATCAGTTTCAGTATGGACCCTTTTCACAAGACTGTGATGATGCGTTTCATCGGTCATCAGCATCCTAAATCCTCGAAAGTTTTTTATATTTAGATTTTATTTTTTAAATGTATACACTATACTTTGCATTATATCACCTTTGCATCAAATTACAAAAAAACTAGTTAACGCTAATGCAAGGGTGTTTCTAATGCAGCGTCTATGAGAAGGACGGGAAATTTGACATCGTTCTCTCTCAATTTTTTCCCCTTTTTTTGAAAGTCGTAAAAACACTATTGTGGTGTTTCTCTTTTGCTATTTTAGCAAATAGGAATGCAAAAAATATATTTGTGGTACTCTCCCATTCTCTGCTCTCGAAGTTAACCCAACTATGAAGACTTCCGCTGCTGAGAAACCCGGAAATGTGAAAAAGGTCTATGGTTTTGATTTGTGTGTGTGTGTTTTGTTTTGTAAAGTTGGTTCAGATACACAGTACTAATCTGTGCAGAGAACAGCAAGATAAACTTACAAATGAGATGCTAGTTTGACAAAGAAAAATACTGTGCAAATGTTGAAAACAGTTGTGCTGCTTCATATTTGTGTGGAAAATGTGACATTTATTTTTAAGGATTCTTTGATTAATAGTTCAACAGGACAGAATTTAAAAAAAAATATGAATCATTTGTAACATTATACATGTCTTTTAATCAATTTAATGCTGAATAAAAGTATTTATTTCTTTTCTTTTTTTTTTTTATCTATGGACCCTAAAGCGTTTGAACGGTGGAGTGTCCTATATATAACTTTATACAACTAACCTTCAGTCGGTGAACTTTAATCTTTCTGGCATGGTTTTGTCAAGTCAACATTCAAAGTTTTCCCATTTTATTTGAATGTGTTATATAGTGTAATCATTGTATTACTGCTGTTAGTTAATTGGAACACAGAGTGAAATATTTTAATTAAAATCTTCCACTGCTATTATTTTAATCATGCTTGTCAGACAACCCAGTGTTTTGTATCATGAGGGTGTTACTTACTGTATAATACAGTATACAGTAAGTTCTGAACTTTAGTGTTACACGTGAATCACTTTGAGAAAGAAAGTCACATATTTTATAGAGATTTCCTGAGGCCAGGGCAGGTGGATTCTCATTCAGTCGAAGACAGAATCACTTGCCCTTCCCTATGAGAAAGCATTTTCAACTTAGTACCACCTTAATCCACCTTAAACGTGGTGTATGACAGCTCTTGTTCTTTCTTCAAATATGAATAGCCCAGAATGCCCTGCGAAACGTGCTGTAGATCCATTACGCTAATATAAACTACTGTCACATACACAAAGCATGAAGACACTGTTTGAAAATCATAAACTACTTATATATGGTTTAACAAATTGACCATCTGCCACTATTAAAGAAGTAGCATAGCTTATGGTA